GTCGGTTATTTCTTTTGAGTGCAGTCAAGCAGGCTGAATAGGATTTATATCATTAGAATCAAAACGCGTTAGAAATCTACTACAAATAAGGAAAACCCTTGCCACCGCGATCTTCAGGCCCGGTTCCACATGGGAAGAGGAGAAGTAAGACGCCAAGTGGAATGAATAGTGTATTCTGTACAAATGTAACTGGATGAACTAGCAACCGCAGCTCAGAGTGCCATGTCAGAAGTGTGAGAGCGCGGCAACCGCCACAATGAGGTACTACGTGAGTCAGCTTTGAAGGTGATTGGCCAGACTGGACTGTGGTCGGCACAAACTGATGTATACGTGTTAACAGTCGCGAAAGGCGAGAGGTTGAGTGTTGTACGCGGAGTTAGCTCACTGCAAGCCCCCTACACAAAACGTGCTGGAGGTCTTAGATGTCTCCTGCGGAATGTCACCAAATTGCAGGACGCTGAGGACAACTTTGCTCTGGTGCGTGGCCACTCTAAGACCACGCCCGCCCTCCTGTTAGCACGAGTTAACCGGGGAGCTCATCCACCTCCTCTCACTTCGTCTCCCCCTGTTGACTCATTTCATACAGACCCCTCAATTTCGGCTCCCTTACATAGTGACCGTCACTAGCCTGTGTAGAAAGTAAAATGGGCACTCGTTTGCCTGCTGAAATGAGACGCATATGCAACCTCTCAGTGATCGGCAACACGAAGTTTCCCAACTCAGAAGTCAAAAAATACAAATAGCGTCATATAAAATTTTAATGGGGGACAAAACAGCATACGGGGACTCCTGCAAGCAGTTGTCACAACGTACCATTTCAGGCGAATGTGTTAGTGTCCGCCGTTGAGATGCAGCCCCAAGTTTGTTGGTGCTTTGTCGCTTGCAGTCAATCAGTGAAGGCCACGCGTGTAAGGCAGGTGGACTGTTGCCTAGAAAAGAGGTTGAAACTATGGAACGCACTTTCATGGTGCACCGACGTATCCCTCGCTATAATAGATTGCGTGTACTTGGCCCGTTCAGAACGCATATCGCAGTGCGTTAAGTTAATAGGTAAACCCTAAGGATTACAATCTGCAGGCCCGGTTACTTAAGGGAAGGAAAAGAAGGGAGACACCAAGTGGCCGAAATAGTTTATTTTTTACAGAGCTAGTGGCGAATAGGTTGGAGGAAGTCACCAATCGAACGAGCGAACGTCCGCTGCCGAGATGAACAGCAACCTAAGTGTCTCAGCGTCCACAGGGAGCGGTATTTGTCTATGTCAGATTTTCAGATGATTGGCCAGACGGATTGGGGTTGGCCTACAAGTGTGTGCGTGCTTAGTGGCCGCGCGCAGTGAGCGTTCGCGCGGAGCATGTGGCTATGCCTAGACACAGGCCGAGAACGGCGATCACGTGAACTCCTGCATGGAGTGGCATAGAAGATGTAGGGCGCTGCATGTCATTACACGGACTATCAGTAATGGTCCGAAAGACTGCCAACTGAGGGGTAAATCACTCCTTCTCATCAGGCCGGTGAGTCAGACCGTGATTAACTCCTCTCAATGTGACCTTCAGGGCAGTCGTACGCATGTGAGACTACAACAACCCCTAGAAAAGCCAGATGTGTCCTGTGGGTACCAGAACGTGTGTGGCACGCGTAGACAAGCCATATAGCTCCTTCAGCGTTCGCGTCCACCTCCGGTCGTCCTGGCATTGTCTTGTTGCTGAAGCAATTGCGGCACAAGTCTGCCCCCTATAAACTAGTTAACGGGCAAGTCAGAGACGCCGCGCCCGCTCTGTATGGTACATGGTGTGCGTTGTTTGCTGCGACGGTCAAACTGTCATCGTTTGCCTGCTTAGAAACGTATGTGTTCGTCGTGGTTATGGCTGGTTGACGGGTATGTGAAGATATCAGAAGCATATCCTTCCCCAAACCCTTGTATTGTTTAGTCTTCTTCACATGGTGCCTCTACTTTTAAGTTTTCTCTGCCCGCCCAATCCGGGCCTCTTGTATACACAGTCAAAAAGATCCTGTCTTGGCATGTCCCTGTGCATTTAAGCACACGGTACTACACAGAACCCCATCCATAGGCTATCTTGCGTTATGCGGACAGGGACTTTAACTAATTCGGTCCGCTATCTCTGCTTGTAGAAATTACGACAATGTCTACATCGGTTGGGGTCTGAAGGCTACGGGACCGGGTTTCAACCCCTTCACTCCACCTGATCCGATGGAAGAGGCGAACGAACAGCACCAGGAGGCCACAGATCCAACGCCAGAAGAGGAGGCAGCAGCTAACGAGCCCGAAGAAGATGTTCCCGAGGACACCGACTCCGAGGACCTCAATGAAGATGGACTAGAAGAATGAAATGGCCCTTTGAGCACTTGGCGACCAAATCAATCATGCTTGTCACATCAATGGTGTTTATTTTGGATGGTCTCTTTATAAAGTCATCATTTTCACTTTTTTCAGCATTTCACCTTTCGCAGAAATCCTAAAGTAAATGCCGCCGGGTTTGCGATCTTGGAGGTTCGAACACCCTCACCATCGTAGATCGAGAACCGCGTTGCAAACCGTCAATTACAATGCTCTGAGAGTACAGATGTTACTCAGTCTGGATGACCTCTAAGGCATGCGCCTTGGACACATTAAAATAAGTGATAGAACGGGTTTTATTTTAAAAACATACAGAATTCAATAGGATCTGGTAAAAATAAAATGACAGATATCGACGCCGACCTATAAGAGGTCATACATTACTCGAGCGGCTATTTAGCTCTGTTTGGTATAAGCATAAATGTTTTAGAGGGAAGCTTTAGCAAGGGACAGCACGCTAGCATGGACGATTTGATTTGCAATTTGGT